GACACAGTTGCAATTGACACAACATGCTTGGCAAACAGATATGAGATCCCTCTTATTTCATTTGTTGGTGTGAACCACCATGGACAATCTGTGTTACTGGGATGTGGCTTTCTTGGACTTGAGTCCATGGAGTATTTTGTCTGGATTTTCAGGGCATGGCTCAAGTGCATGCAAGGGCGTCTTCCACAGGTTATCATTACTGACCAAAGCAAACCCTTGCAAAGTGCAGTGTCTGAGGTTTTCCCAAGTGCTCGTCATTGTTACAATGTGTGGTTTATCATGCAGAGAGTTCCGGAGAGGCTGGGAGGGTTGCAGGGATATGAAGCCATCAAAAGACAATTGAATAAAGCTGTCTATAATTCCTTGAAGATAGCTGAGTTTGAAACTTCTTGGGCTGATATGATCAAGTGCCATGGTCTTGGCGATAATAAATGGCTTCAAACTTTGTATGAAGAAAGACAAATGTGGGTTCCAGTCTACTTAAAGGACATATTTTTTGCAGGAATGATCCCCATCCAAGAGAATGAGAGCTTGAATGCATTTTTTGATGGTTATGTACATAAGCATACATCATCCAAGGAATTTGTAGATAAGTACGATCTTGCCCTACACCGGAAACACTTGAAAGAAGCCATGGCCGATCTGGAGTCCACAAATTCAAGCTATGAGTTGAAAACAAGATGCAACTTTGAGGTGCAGCTCTCTAAAGTGTATACAAAAGAAATCTTTAAGAGGTTCCAGTCTGAAGTTGAGGGGATGTATTCTTGTTTCAACACAAAGCAGGTGAATGTTAATGGACAAATAGCAACATACATAGTCAAAGAACGAATCAAAGTTGGAGGTAGTGAGAAGGACATTAGGCATTTTGAAGTTTTATACGAGACAAGTCAAGCAGATATACGATGCATTTGCAGTTTGTTCAATTACAAAGGTTATCTATGTAGGCACGCATTGAATGTGCTTAATTATAATGGCGTGGAAGAAGTCCCTTCTCGTTACATTCTGCCACGTTGGGGAAAAGATTTTAAGCGCAGGGGTCTTCTAGATCACAATTCCGGTAATGTTGACGTGGATAGCCCTATTTACTGGTCTAACCAACTGTATAAATGTGCCATTCCAGTTGTGGAAGAAGGAGCACAATCTTCAGATCATTATAAGATTGCTTTGCAAGAATTGGAAGAGTTGTTGAACAAATTCAATCTTGTAGAGGACAGCTTGTTGTAAAGTCTAATACGTAGAAACTAGATAGAAAAACAAAATGCCATTTTGTAAAACCTCTTGCGGTGTCTATTTTACTGTCTTCTCGTGCCACTGGTGGAACAGATGCATATTATACGAGGTTTCCCATGTCTTTGATTCTCTGAACATCTGAGTAAACAGAAACTTCGGCTGGTCCAAGTCGTCTGTGTATTCTCCTGATTCCATGACCAGGGTTCTGTATTAGTCCGTCCTCTGCAGGCCGGACGTGAAATGTGTTCTTTCTATGTCAAAGAAATGGTTTTATTTGTTTTTTCATACAAATTAAGAAAGTTATTAATTGTTTAACATTTTTTTCCTTCATATTTTTCTAAAATAGCCTCCTTAATCTTGCATGATATGGAATCAATATTAATTACTGGTATTTTAGGAAATTATACCGTTTAAAGTTTTAATCGGATAAGTATTTTGTGATGAATATAAATAAAAAAAGACAATCTCTTTGGTCTTGAATTGGGCCAAAAAGGAAACTTCTCGCAGGACGCAAATTGCACTCTGTACAGCCTCCATGCTTTAGCTGACCATCTCCAATCTACTCTTGGGATTGCCTCAGAAAGACTTCTTTTTATCTTTTTTTCCAAATAACTTTGGATTAAGAAATAATTGGACTAAGAAGTAAGAAGCCAAAAAAGGCCAAGAGAGGCAACGATTCATTGACATAGCATCGTGGTAATCTCCAGGGATAAATGGCTGGGGGTAAGTGCAAATGAAGCTCACATATATGCTGCTAAATTTTGTTAAAACTGAATGCAAAGTTAGCACATCTACCGTCTGGAGATGCTTGGAAAATGTAAAATCACTCTATTAGAAGTCTTGCGTTATGATGGGCCAAATCACAAATACCTTAATGGAGTTTTCAATGCCTTTTCTCATATATTTTCTTAACTATGGCAAAATATGTCAAACTTCACCATTTCGAACAATTTTTTTTTTTTTACTGACAGCAGAAATTGAGTGAGACAAATATAAAGCAGCTAGGACCATCTAGGTTCTCTAATTGGCTCTAAAAGTTCTTTTGCTCCTTTAACAATGTCCTTAGTTAGGAGGATGCCAAAACATTTCACACCATCCTCCTCATCAGACCATGGACGAAAACAAAAATTCAGCAGCTAGGAACGCCAGTTGTAAATAGAGAACATGTACGGGTAGAAACCATGAAGTGCAGCAAATTAGGAATCTCATGCCTTTTTTAAGTAAGGCCACTTATCAATCTACCACCATCCTTTTTAAGAAAGGTCACTTGCTTTAAGCATAAGCTGATCCTTAAGGTTATGTTACAGGGTATTGAAAAGTGAATGTCTGGAGGTTATAAATTTATAATGCAACTGTAGTTTGGTTATCAAAATTATATATATAAATTAAAGAATCAAAATGACAATTTCATTCCAATAGTGTTAATGAAAAATTAATAAGAAAATCAAAATAAAATTTAAAATTTTTATTATTTTGTTTTTAAAATAAATAAAAATAATGATTAAAAAAATAATTTTATCTATTTACTGTAGGAAAAAGATAAAGATGATTGCCGTGGTGGTAGTTGTGGAGGAGCAGGTGGTGGAGGAAGTGTAGGTAGTGATGATTTTGCGAGCGTTGATAGTATGCATAGCATGATTCTGTTGTTTTGTTTGTATTCACCCTAAAGAAGTTGATGGGTTTTTTTTTTTTTTTTTTTTAACATAAGTTTTAGAATTGAAATATGGTAGTATAAGAGAGCCGAAGTCTTGATTGTTAAAAAAAAAAAAACATACACGTATGAGTTTGAAAAACAAATGTACAATCAATATTTTCATAATTCTTAATCAAAACTTTGGTTTTTAGTTTGATAGCATAGATTTTGTTTTAAATTGGGTACCTAATAAAAACTTGTGATAATGTAAATAAATAAATTAATATAAAATTAAAAAAAAGTCTTAATATACTTTTTTTTCATAAAATTACATCGAAAAAATAAAACAACAATTAATATAAAAACTTATATAAAAATTAAAGAAAATTTTTTTTTAACTTTTTGAAAATATGTGCATTTAATTCATATATATTTATTTACAAAACAATAAAAATAATATTAGTATAAAAAGATGTATTTGAATTATTAAGTGATTCTTTTAAAACATTATTTCAATTGTTTTATTTTTTAAAAAATAATTTTAGGATATTAAAAAAATTAATAGCAAATGATTGGTATTATGTGTGTAGTTGCATACTTAATTTATAATAAAACCAATGATCTCATTATTTTTTATTATTATGCATCATATCCATACTTAGTAAGTCGAGTGTGCACTATAAATAAAAAAAAACATTTTCTAAAAAATTAAAGTTGTAAAGAATATATTGAAATTAATAGAATGCAATAAAAATAACTAAAAATTTTATTCCAATAAAATTTGATTATATCAAGAATAAGCAAATAAAATGCATTAATTCTATTATTTAATTGATGCTTTATTTTAAAAAGCTAATTCGAAAATCCATACATAGAGAAAAATAAATCATATTTATTAATAAATAAAATTATTTAAAAAATAAAAAGATTAATTTGATGAGATTTTTTATGAAAACAAAAATGAAAAATTGAAGAAATTAATTTTAAAAAATAAAAATAATATAATTTGATATTTATGTTAGTTCTAAAATGCAAAAATCTGACGGGTAAAAAATATCTTTTAAAAACACCATAAACCAAAAATATCTTATGAAAAATAAGAGACCAAAATAAAATAAAGTGAAAACATGAGGGGTCAAAAGGTATCTTTCTAAAACATAAGAGACCAAACAAGCTTTCAAAAAAATTAGCGAACAAAATAAAATATAATGTAGAATTAAAATAATGTAAAATTTGCATCGTCCTCCAAAATTATCAAAAATGCCACACAATGAACAGTAATTTTTTGAGAGAACAAATAGCAATTACTTCCATCCTTATGGTTGTTTTTGTTAATATATATTTTTAAAAAAATTGATACCAATATCATAGAAAGATAGTGATCGGTGTAATGGCAGTGGTAAAAAAATAATAGGAGAATATTAATAATAATCATTTTTTTTATCACCAAGTAATAGTTGTAAAAATAATCAATACATAATAAATAAAAATCATTATTTTAAAGGAAAAAATATCATTTTTATTCTTTTTTTTTTTTTTTTTTAATTCTCACCTCCCATTAGAATAAAACTATATATATAATTTTCATCCATATTCATATTTCAATCCTTTTAATCAAACACATATAATGTTAAAATAAAAGTTTCATCTCGTTCCCACCATTCCATTCCATGTTACCAAACAGCAAAAGGCTCATTCTTCTTTCTGCGTGGAATCAGAGAAGAAAAGTAAACAAAATTCTGGAAACGTAATAGGTCCCTTCCCCTCCCCTTCTCGTCAAGAATATCTAATCCAGCACACACCATGAAGGGCTTTTTTGAAATGAAACAATGCAGAGACATGTATAATACCTTGGCTGAAAAGAGAGAGTCACAAAAATTATACACAAAATTAGTACTTGATAAATATTAACTCAATCAAATGCTTCCATAGACATACAACCTACATCAGTTCGTTTTCACAAGAGCAGTCTGTTGTGCGTGCATACACCCGGACAATTCAAGTATTTCACAATGCTCAAACTAAGAAAATTTAATACAACTCCGAGAAGAAAAAGTTCAAACAGAAAATGCCATGTATTAAGAAAAAATAAAAAATACAAGCACAAAGCACATCAGATCTCACTCAATAGTTGCCCTTACTTTATGCATGTAGGTAGTGTAACTCCATGGCATACAAAAGCCAGCACAACATAGATAATCACCAGTAGTATTAAGATCAAAACAACCCTGCGAGATGAAAAGAATTTAGTCAGTGGAAAAGAATTCAAAGATCTCAAGTTTCAAGTACGCAATGTTGAAAGAAAATCTTGCGGTACACTCATGCATGTAGGCACATATAAAAAACATTTCATTTGAAGAACATACGTAAGCTTGACATTTTTCCACCATACTGTGCTTCTGAAACGGCGAGCTTGCTTTCTGAAACGGAAGGTGTTTCCTTGCATGTTAGTGGTTTTATCAACCAGCAATTCCAAGCGATCACCTCTCTCCAAAACTTTGTCGATGTTTTCAATCATGACATTTCGCACCTATTACAAAAACAATCACAAATTTGCAAATTACAAAATCCGTTAAAACTGAAGAATTCAGGCAGGATCCCTCAACTGGAAATTTATAAAATAATTATTCAGTATTAGAGTAAGTTTCTACTTTAACAATGATGATAATAGCGGTATATGCCCTTTATATACCATTTGTTTCATCATTCAGAACCAGAGTGGGACTCTAAGCCCACAAATAAGTTATTCCACCTAAACACCACACTTTTAGAAAGCAAGGAAACAGCAAAATGAAACGACCACATTTTAAAGGAACGAGATCTAAAATAAAACATTCTTCCAGAGATCACTTGTGGATTGAAAACGAAATAGCAACCACCATTCAAATTTATAAATTGATACAAGAGATAGCAACCATGATTCAATCTAGCTCACCTGACTCATTTCACCTTTCAGTCTATTTATCCTATCTGCATTCGGATCATTAGAGAAATACTCCATTTGCTGGCTCAAAACTCTGGAGAACTCATCATTCATGGCATAAGCTTGAGCTGTGATAACTGCACGACCATAAGTCCTTGCAAATTTCTGATGAATGTCCTCAAGAAATGCAAACGGAATTCTTCCTGCACATAAAATCAACAATATCATAACTTTTCCTATTTTTGATACTCGCTCAAAGCACTCTACAACCTAGAAATCCTATACCCACTTTTCATATTTTTTATGCTCACTCAAAGCATTCTACAACCTAGAAGTCCTATACCCACTTTAAAATCAACCGTGAAGCATTAGAATAATAGTCAAATAAATAAAGTTGCCAACTTTTGAATAAATTCCCTTACTCTCCAAACTGGTATGGCTTGAGTACTGAAAATTCAGTGTTAACAAAGCTCTCTAAAATATTAACTCAGTAATTATGATCGTGTCAACCCACAACGACGTAATGCCTTGCAATTCACCGAGACACAGCATAAATGACTTTCCTACAATATCGTAACTTTCATGGAATTCATTTTCAATCCTCACCTAAACCATCCTAAAGCTAGACCCACTACAAAAATGAAATGTAGATTAGTCAATCAATCTGACAACTTGATAAGTACCAAACTTCTAGTAGATTCACTCATTCTCCTACACCCACAGTAGCTTGCATCCTAAAATCCAGTCATTTCTGTAGCTCTCTCAAATATCAACCTGTCATGAGAAACTGATTCCTAGTATTTTCCCAAACGAAGATACTACATTTTTAACAAATTCAACTAATTCTCCGACATGTATAGTAGCTCGAGTCCTAAAATCTCTTTTTTTTTAAATTGTCATCCAAGCAACAATTCCTCACATATTCCCTAATTTTGTCCAAACCCGACACACTTAACTACAAAAATAGATCATAATTGAAACCCTAAAATCCACAATTGACCGAAATAATTAATTAATGCGAAATTTAAGTCAAAATTAAGGGAATGAAAAAAAAAAAACTTACTGCCGGCGGTTTCATCGGCCATACAGAGCACGGTGAGGCCATCTGTGCGTTTAACATGAAAAATATAACGATCCTGAGAGTAAGAGACGTTGCTATCATCATTGCCAGGTATCTTCTCCAATATTTGCCTAGCAATCGCGCTTGCGTTCGTTGCTGTCGAGCTAAACTCTGCTAGCACCACCGATCCCCTTGCCACCAGCGCGTACAGGATCGCCATCGGGATCGATTTTTCTCTTGATTGAAAAACTGTTTCCTTCTTTCAGTAACTTTTTTATTTGATCACCTTTTTTTAATGAGTTTGTCGCTCTAAATTAAAAATTGGAAAGAGAAGTGATGGGCCTGCTGTAAAAACAGGAGAAAGGGGAAGGGAAGGGGATTTGACTGGGAGGAAATTTTGGCGGAAAGGTGGATTAAAAATTGAGTGAGGCAAAAAATGAATCTTTTTTTGAGGGAGTGTGCCATTTTTTTTTTTTTTTTTTTCACTGAGGTGAAAGACGGATTATTGTTATTATGATTTAAAAGTTCAGCGTATTCTCATAAAAAAAAAAAAATAGAATTTCACCTTTCTATGCATATATCTCTGTACAAACTATTAATAGAATTTGAAATTTTGCCTTGCTATTCTTATTTGATCCAATTCTCATAGGGTTAAAAGTTGAGTATGTTTACCAAGCGTTTTAAATATCTTAATCGTGTTATTATACTAAATTTTTTAATCATCATGTCTTTTTATTTTTAATTATGTTTACATTTGATCCATTTTATTATTTTTTCAAATAACGATAATTTTTAATATTTTTTGTTTTGTTATCTATGTTTTTATTATCTAAAAAGGTGACCAAAATGACCAAATACAAATTTAATTAAAATAAAATATAATAATTAAAATTTTTAATTAAAAAAATAAGATTAAAACATTTTAAATAATTAAGAGATATTCTAAACTTTTAACCCAATTCTGAAATGTAAATTGTGAAGTTAAACATGATATCATAGCTTGGGCCCTACGGCTACCAGCTCTACCACTATGCCGATTGAGTCAACGCTGTAGGAGTTCTTGAATTGAAGTGAAAGGTATATTATTACTACTTTTTTTTTTAATATTCTTTTTTGTTATAAAAATACAAGCAGAAGCATCTGTATATGTGATGTCTGCAAGTTATTGTATTTTTTCTTTGATTTTCCTTGCCAGGCGATAATGGAGTAAATTAACGATTAGCATGTGATGGTCGCGTAGGATCATGCTGGCTTGTGATCATAACACACGTCTCGAAGCGAAATGACATCCATCATTGTCATAACTTTGTAGAGATAAACATTACTCTCAGTGTAAAAATACATAAATAAATAAATAAATAACATACATAGATTGGATTACGGTGTTGCTTTCTATCGAGGAGGTTTTAAGCCATGAAAACATTACGAGGTCTTTTCAGTGCGTATACACCCAGTTACCTGCCTTCGAAGTTTTTTCTGTTTTTATTTTTTGGCCTTTTTATTCTGGGAGATAAGTTGGTCAAACCATATAATAAAATATAACTATCTCCTGTACAATGGGCAGGTATATGATACATTAAACCAATTTCGAACACCAAACATCTTTCGGATCCATAACGATTATTAAATTTCCTTCTAAGCCCTTATTGAAAACATTTCCAGCCCACTTAATACGCATTCATACCAGCTAAAAAATTAGTTTGTCAGAAAATTCCATGTTAGTCCCTGTACTGTTCGAAAAAAGTTATTTTTTTGCAATCAGATCCTTACATGTGAGTTATTTAGTTTGAAAAATTAATAGATAATAAGAGAATATAAAATAAATATCCATGCTCGAAAACAATATTAGCCAGCATATACTTTCTTATTTATATCCACTCTAAATCTTCAATGCTCATTGAGCATACTTAAAAAATATTAGAACGTGTTAAAGGTGTGTCCACTTTATATTTGGAATAATGGTTCCTGGTGCCAGTGTTGGAGGAAATTTCCGGTTCCTGGTGCCAGTGTTGGAGGAAATTTCCTCTTGTTTACACGTGTCATGGAATTATGTTGTCATGCGTCAAGAACATCAAAGTTGTTGTATTCTCTTATCTCTTTTATTTTTTTATTTTTTGGCTTTTATTCAAGATCCTAAGGCTTATCTTACACATGTCATTATGATATTATGACACGTAATATAAGAAAAAGTTTATATATATATATATATATAGGATAGAAAGAATCTACCTGTCATTTGATCACCACAATCATGCAAAAGCTTAAATTTTTAATAAAAATCTAAAATATAATTTATATTATTTTTTAATAAATTTTAAATTGATGTATAATATATTCACTAATTCTCGATTAAGTATGTAACATATCGTACACTCCTGCCATCTACATCTTTCATTCATTTTTTTTATTGTGTTACTTTTTGTATGATTAACAAATGTCAGATCCATTGAAGAAAAAATTGATAAAATTGATTGTATTTGATGACTTTAGGAAACGGGTAATACATACTTAATGTTGTAAAAAAACTTAACATCTTTAGTGGACATGTTATCAAAACACGAATAGGAGAGAAATAGCCTTATATTTAATTAATTAAAAGAGAAATAAATATGATTAGATTTAAATTCGTAATTATTTAATCATTATTGGTATGATATCATATTAAATGATTATCTCGTTCAAAAATTTAAATTTTTAAGTAAAATCTCAATATATATTTATACTATTTTTTAATAATTTTCAATTTGTTATATAATATATCCACCAATTCTCGACCAAGTGTTTAACATATCTTACATTACGGCGGTTTACATCTTTCATCCATTTTTTTTATTATGTTAATTTTTGCATGATTAACAAATGTCAGATCCATTGAAGAAAAAATGGATAAAATTATTTGCATCTGATGAAATTGAGAAACGGGTAATACGTAATTAATTTTGTACAAAAAATTAAGATCTTTGGTGGACCCTGTCATCAAAATACGAGTAAAAGAGAAATAATAGTTTATAAATTTGAACCCTGTCATCAAAATATGAGTAAAAGAGAAATAATAGTTTATAAATTTGAGAAACTAAGAAAAGGTGTCTTTTGAGCCTTCTCATTCTTAAAAATCTTTTACAAACCAACCCCCCCCCCCCCCCCCCCCCAATCTCCAAGGTTAAATCTCAACCTCTAATTTGTACCATTTGGGAGTTAATCTTTAATCTTTCTAACGATCTCCCCTCTTATGTTTTTACACTAAGAAGTTTTACTTTTATAAAATTTAACTACAAAGCAAACATATTTTAAAGAAACATTTCAAACGTGGATTCTTAGATACGGTAGAAAATAGCATTTTTAAAAATTCGTTTCCTTAACCACAAAGTAATAATTTATTAGTAAATAAGTGTTGATTTATAAAACAGATTTAAGGTTCGATTCTTTTTATCAGTATTTTTAAAATTTTATTTTTAAAATATCCGAAGTCGTATTTGAGAAGTGTCTTTTAATTACATTCGGAGAGTGATTAATCTTGAAGCATACAAAAACTTATCCGATAATATCCTTGTTGCTTGAAAAAAAAATGATTTCCTTCTTTCAGGAAGAAAATTCTATGGCAAATGTTATTAAACATAGTATTTGTCATATATCTTGTAAATTTGAGATCACTCAACAACCCAAACACTATATCTCTTGGAATCTTAAATTCTATGGCAAAGGGGATCCTACAATCCTTACACCAAACTGCTCCTAAAAATGTAAGTGACTAAGTACAAAAGCTCCTAAGTCTCTACCTCTTACTGTATCACACACTTCCTACAAAAAATTACAAAAGGAAACCTTATGTGTATTGTTCATTTGTTCTCTCATAAACTGGACCCATTTGACAAACATTTATTCTGAACAAAACTATCCTTGATCGAAATAGGTACCATTGGGTCAGAGGAACAAGCCGTGACTCATCTGGCCCAAACAAAGCACCAAGTGGGTCGTGCCAGACAAAACATTCGAGCTTCTTTTAATCTGTCAAGTTGATCGGCCGTCCCAGTTAAGAAAACGGGGGTCCGATGACAGCAGAATCCGGCCCTACTTTACATCACTGCTCTGGACATTCTAATAATACAAGTCATTTGCTTCGGCCTTCCACATGAGTAAAATAGCTATAAATAAATAAATAAATAAAATCAAGGAACGATTAAATTTAAGTATCAATTGGATTCCATACAAATTATTGCTGGAAGAGTAAAGGAAAAAATAATAATAATAAATTCCAAAAATTTACTATATATAGAGGATGTTTTGAAAAAAATAAATAAAAACCCTCCTATTTCTACTAGAAATTACAGGTAATCCATCATTTTCTAAACAAGTGTCTTTAGAAGAAAACAAGGAAAACAGACATTTCCCATTAATAAAACATGACAAAAATTGAATATGTTACTTCAAATAAAAGATAAATGAAGCTTCCTCGACCAGACATCATCCATCTCACAGCTATGTTATATTTATAGGGAATTCGTGCCTACACTATAATCACCACCAGGCATCAGATATATGTGTAACGATAAGATCGGGAGAGGATACAGATCATGGACAAAATCTAGCACATGAAGGTTACAAATATGTTGAATTGTTGAGTCATGTGACAAATTTGTATGTATTCACTGTTAAGAATAGATGTTGACAACTCAGTTTTTTATTTTTATTTTTTGATACGGTGATTATATATTATCTTGTTACTGATACGTAATTTTTTATTCTTTTTTATGTTAATTTGCTGACAACTATATTGGATAATTATATTTTGATTTTTTTTAATCTAAAATTTATATGGATTTAGATATCTGTATTGTACTGTAGAAATTAATTTTTTAGATATATATGAAACCAGATCAAGCTTTGTTTCCTAATACTAAATCAGAATCTTATACAGACCTATCCCTTAAATTGGAACCTGCAAAAAATATAAAAAAGTCAAATCACTCATCTCATGATTTCAAAATATTAATTGTTATAAAGTTTGTTAAGTGATAAATTATCAATTGATGGTACATTCAAATCTAAATACAGGAGCTTTTCTTAATTTTAAGGATAAATATACATATTTATTTTTATATAATATTTAAAATTTTTTATTTGTTTTTAGATTTTCAATTGCATCTCATTTGTTTTTAAAAATTTTTGAAATATTCAATTTCTCATTCTGATCAAATTTTCCCATCATTATTTTTTGACCAAAATATCATTTACTAAAATATGAAAAATAATTAAAACATTTAAAGTCGCATGACTTACTTCTATTTTTGAATTTTTATAATTTTTTATTGCATTTTAATTAGAAGTATTTTTTTAAAAAAATATTATTTAGTTGAAAAAAATTGATTAGAATGACAAATTGAACATTTCAAACACTTTCAAAAACAAAAGGAATACAATTAGAAAATTAGGAACATGTGAGAGATTTTGAGTATTATACAAGGACAAATTAATATATTTATTATAATTTTAATTCAATAAAATTTTTATTTTAAAAAAAATGATTGTCAACTGATAATGGAAAGCATTATATGATTTTCAATTGTTTATAAAAAGCAATAGTCTTTTGCAATTGACGGTGACAACTCGGAATTTCTTGTATTTTTCCATAAAATAGGCCAGGCACACTTTTTTTTTGATAAACAAAACAGAATTTATTACGGAAATTCCCAATAAGGAAGGTAGGTTCTAGCTAGTCTGACTTGTCTAAATCCTCAAAAGTCTCTAACCAGTCGTGTGGGTAAATTAAAGTTTCTCTTCGTTTCCTATTTCCCTTTAAAAATTTTGTTTTGCGATTGGCCGTATCAGGGGACTTGTTTATCCACGCCATGATCGATAATAGAATTCATTAAAATTTTACTTTTGAGCCTTAAATTTAGTGACAGATTGAGAAATTAAGAAAAGCTTTTAGATCCATAAGACTTGCATTAATTGTACATCCAGATAAAAAATTATAATCCTTTGATTGAGTAGTAAGGATTTATTCTTTTATTTTTTATTTTTTAGGTTTCTATTTATAAATCTGATCTATAAAATCATCAATTACCTGTTTTATGTTCATACATAGGTAAAAACTTAAAATATTTAGTGAGACTCTTGACATTATATTATGGATTTTTTTGTGCTGAATTCAATTAAGGGAATTTTAAAACAAGAAATTTAAAAAATGATTGGAAAGCAGTTGACGGGACAACTTATTTTCTGTATTTTGAATTAGATGACTAAAATTATCAAACAACCTAATATTTTTTTTTAAAAGGTCTTAAATGTCTGGATTGCAGGATTAGAAGGTTATAGGATACCATAAATGGAATAACTAAAAATTAATATCTTGACCACTTATAATCGTATGTAATCAAAATAATAAAATTGAATTGACAAACAAGTCACTTAACTAATAACAAATAAGTAAAAATTCTTTGGGGAATTTTTAGTTTTAATGAGTAAAATTCTTAAATTAGATAAAAAAAATTGAGAATCTCAATAAATAAAATTTAAATTGTATGAAACGTTGATATACATAAAACTTGTTTTCTTAATTTGTTGGACTGTTAAACTCCAGTTGAATTTAGGTGTAACACATTGAAAATAGATCATAAAAATATTTGGAGTGCTTTTGACTTTAAAAATAGCCTCTAATGCTATCGCAGTCAACCTTGCTCCTAGCCTTTGAATTAACTTTCTAAATTTATAAGATTTGCATCAATCGCTCATTCAAATAAAACAATCACGCTCCTTCTATTTCTAGTAAGCAATGAACTACCTCACAATTATTTTCAACACATTCGTAACGAGTGATCTTTTTTTTTTTTATGGGTATTAAGAATTTATCCTTTTATATTGTCTTTTTAAACTTTTATTTATGAATCTGATTTATAAAATCATCAGTTAACTATCTTATATCAATACGTACGTATAAAATTAACATAAAAATTAAAAATTCGTAGTGAGGCCTTTGACTTCGAAAAGAGATCATCATAATCCTATAATGGATACCCGATGGAACAAGATAAGACGTGCAATCAGCATCAACGAATAAGAATGGCAAAATGACCAGACTCGAGATTGTCTCGGTTCGTAAATTTTTTGAACGAGGATGGGATTTGCTCATTCTGTTTTGTTTTTCTCCATCAACAATGATTTATAGTAGAGTTCGTGTGATTTAATCTCTTGCTTAGGAAATAAAATTATGCAAATTGTGTGTACTCATTATAAAATCTGTCAAAACAAGACAAAATGGGATGAGACGGAACGAACACAAACAATAAAATGGGACCTCGTTTGCCTGCAAGGATCTCCGTCCCTGTTTGGGATGGGGATGAAATGACAAATTCTATCCTGTTCAAGGCACGAGACGGGGATGAGGAATTTTTTAAGAGGGGGGCCATCCCCGTCCCGCCCCATTGCCATCCCTATCAACGACAAAGACCTCTCTGCATAGGCATTTCAATTTACGTTGGCCGGTCCGACAACAAATCATCGATGCCATGTGACTTGAAACGCGTATAGAGTATAGGGCTTCAATTATTTGAAATACCGGACAAAATACAACGGGACAAAGACACCCAAAAAAAGGATCCATGTTTGTCATAATTCACAACCTGGATTCCATTATGCAGAGAAGAACATTGTCTGAAAGTAGTAACTTGCTGATATTGCCTTGAAAGTTTCTTTTATCTAGCTGCAACCATGCACAATATCAATAGAGCTTATAATTTCCTTAATCTATGGGCAAATTTGGATTTTTGGTCTTCTTTTGACAGTGATCAGAGCAATCAGTTGCCAATGCTAAATTACTGACTGTGATGATCTTGAATAAGAAGATTTTACCTGGAATAGGCTGGTTGTTAATTTGTCCTTGTGAAAAGACAATTCCAAACAGTGAAAATGCTAATATCTTAGCATCAATGCATATGCTAGTAAATTATAAATTAGTTTCTAAAGTTTTGAGAAATGAATTAATTTTTTTTTCTTTTCAAAAACTAATTATTTTTTCTATATTTTTAAGTTTTCTTTCAATTTAATTCTTTTTGTTTTTTTTTCAATTTATTTTGATTTTTTTAAGAAATGAAAACAAAATAAATTAAAAATATGAAAAGATTGATGAGAAAAAATGATTTTTTTTAATAAAATAATAATATTAAATTAAATATAATCTAATAATAATTGTTTTTTGAAATAGGAAGAACTGATTAATTCATTTAAAAAAATATATAGAAAAACTAACTTATAATTTACCCTAGCAAAAGCATACAAATTGTTTTCCATATGCATACAAAGATGTAACCAGTACATTATCACCTCTTTCTCCTCTCTTCCACTCAATCAATCTCACAATTCCCACCTCACAATTATTCTTTAAAAGAAGCACTTCTCCCCTAAAATCTTCCTAAGCACTTGATATTCAGTAGCAGTACCAGTACTCTAGCTAGCTACTGCCATGGCTTCCAAGAAGCTCATTGCCACCATTTTGATCTTCTCCCTTCTTTTTTCTCGACATTTTCTGCTGCTTGCGGTCCTTGCCAACCTAAACCCAAGCCAAAGCCGTCTCCCCCACCAGCACCAACTTGTCCTACAGACACATTGAAGTTAGGAGCTTGTGCTGATCTCCTTGGACTTGTTAATGTTGTTGTTGGAACTCCACCTTATAGCAAGTGCTGTACTGTGCTTGAAGGCTTGGTTGACTTGGAGGCTGCCATCTGTCTTTGCACTGCTATTAAAGCAAATGTGCTTGGAATAAACTTGAATGTGCCAGTTGCTCTGAGTACAATTGTAAGTGCATGTGGCAAATCCATCCCTCCTGACTTCAAATGTAAATGAAAAATTAATGTTTTAGTCTCTGGCCCTTAATTATATTGTTTCTGTATCGTGTAGCTTGTAATTGTGGCATGCTGCAAGATGTGATCTTGTTGTTGGGTTTTAAATTTTAAGGGTTTCTTATGCTTTCTTCTTAAAATGTCTTAGAGGAAGAGTAGTGTTACATCATGTGTTATTTGTTCAAATAACTAGGCAAGCATGTTTGCCTGGGACTTGTGTATTTTTTCATGTTTGTTGTGACTACATCAATTTCTTTTGTATTAGCTTACATTAATTGATTGTTTTGGGTTTTTGACATCTCTTACATTTATATATTTCAATTATAGAGAAGATCCGAGACCGATTCATGGACAAATCGATCCTCTCGAGTTTGCAATAAGCTTCCTATTGCTCAAGATAAAAACATTGCTAATATAAAATCTACTAATAAATGCATTAATTTAGAGATTCTCACTGATGAAAAAGTAAACCAGTGGCAGCGCAAATTTAATTGATATAGTGTTTTTTTTTTTTACTAATAAGAGTTATTTTAAAATTACCTTGTATGTTAATGGAGATTAAATCATCTTTCTGAACAATTTTAAGAGCATACTTCCTTAATCACAAGATCAATTTCCTTAAAATTAATTTTATTTAAGCAATATTCGAAATTAGAGAATTAAACGGACATACTTTCTTAACCACAAAATTAACTCCTTAAAATTAACTTAATTTAATTACATAGTAAAAAACACAAATGAATGCTTATTAGGGGTGAGTAGTATTATGATAAAATCGATTAACTATATCGAATCAAAATCGAGATACCAATTACGTCCAGTTTTAATTGAATTCGGTTTTAACAAATCCGATTTTTAATTGAAAACCATTTTTTTAGAAACATGTTCGAACTTTTATTATTATTTGTTAAATTTTGGTAGTTCAATTTATAACATATTTGAAAAATTAATAGCTTTTTATCTATATTTGAAATGTGAATTAGTTAATTTATATTTAGTTTTTTTAAGTTTAATTATATTGTATGGTTTTGTATTTTAATTTTGTTTAAATACATATTTATTATCTTTCAAATAGAATAATTTAGAGCATTCGGCTTAGAAAAAGAACTCCATCGTCTACACCAATTTTTTTTTTTACCTATTTACATTATTTTAATTTTTTTTAAATTCGGCTTTTACCAAAAAAAAACAAAAATCAAAATTTTGGTTTAAAAGAAAAAACAAATAAAAATTGGATTTGAATTCATTTTTTTCTGTTAAAAACTGAACTAAAATATTAAAAACAGAAACTGAAAAATCTATTGTTCACCCTGCTTGTTGCAATATCCTGATAGACGTCCCCGCAGCTGAGATATAATTAACAAAGTAAAAAAATCTGAAATTGAAAGCAGAAATTACCGCTAGAGCTGCCTACAATGAAAGGCAACATGTGGTGAGTCAAGCTCAAAATAAATATCTTCTCACTGTAACCTTTGGCTTCTAGCGTGTCCTCTGATTCGCTGACCACTAGTGATATAGCATGAAACTATTGCCCACAGATACAGAAAACCATACAATAGTCATTGTTTCTAGCCTCACGTTTGGGGTGAACTGTTTCTGGCTCGACTGCTATGCTATGGTTTACAAATTACTATTCTTTTTTTATTCTTTTTTTCAGAAAACTGTAACTTCAGTATCTAATTTTTTATATTTATTTTATTTGAGCGCCTAATATTTTATTTTACCCATTTAAGTAACTAATTTTTTAAAGTATAATTCATGATCTAAAACTGTTAAATATTGACATATAGTGAGTGAGAAATTATATAATACACCATGAGTAACTAGTGACATATACGATAGTTACTCTATGAGCTCATTTTGAGAAGAGAGATAGACACAAAAAACAATAGTGAAATTACATCCATACCCACCAAAAGCGATAAGAAGATTTCCACGTCCGTTTAAATTTTTTTATTTTCTCTTTCCTACTTTTTTTTTTTTTTGTCTATCTCTCTCTTTAAAGTGGGCTCGTAAGTAATTATCGTACATGCCACTAGTTACTCTCAGTGTATTATAAAATTACTCTATACTGAGTATCAATTGATATGTGGTCGTTTTGTACTAACATATAATATAATAAAATGTGAATCTCATTGGAAATTTGAAAAAAAAACTATAATTAATTTTAGAATTTAACTTTTAATTTTTATTCTCTTTGAATACTTAACTTTTTATTTCATCTATTCAAGTAATTAATCTCTATTTTTTACTATATTTCTGTACAAAACGGTTAAATTAGTGATTTTCCAAGGCTTTTTTGAACTGTAAAAATCAAAATAACGTACTTATATACTTACTATGAAGGTGAGCACGTCTTGTAGATATGGATGTCTTGGTGATTTTCCACGGCTTTACAAGTTATCAATGGCTTTTGATAAGGAAGATGATTTCCATGCATGCAAAAGAATTGTCACGAAAACAGTTCAAGAAAGCTCTGAAAAATTACTAAGAGGATATAGTTGTCAGTATCCAATTTGCCGTGTGATAGGAAAGGTTTTCTCCAAAATTTATTTGCAACCAAATTCTCCGAATTGGACTGCATGGAGCATCTATCCCTTTGTTTTGGTGACTTTATTAATTTCTTGTTGTAGAGCCTGACTCTCTCTCTCTCTCTCTTTTTGCGATCTCTTGCAGAGTTTCTTTGTCGTCTTGAAGGCTGGTTACAGCACAGACATAGAGAGGTTCCTTTAATTACTTGAATTATTTTGTAGTCATTTTCCATTTCGATTTGATATTTTAATTATTGTTTTGATTCCTTTCAATTAATTATTGGTTTTAATTAGTTAATTAATTAATATTTTTCATTTCTAATTTGTATTAACATAATTACCTTTTTCATATTAAATTTTTTTAATACTATCTTTTCGTAAAGTATTTAGTTGTTGATACTATTTATGTAATTAATTAGTATATATCTAGCAGCTTTACTTTTCGTTTCTTAGAAGCCATCATTGCATCTATGATGTGCTTATAATAATTTAGCTCCTTTTTATTTATCATATTAAAAAAAAATCACTAATTTTGTAGAAAATATCTAACCATTGTCTGTACACTAATATTAAAATAGATATAGTGAGGTGTGATGTCTCTAACACTTGACGTGCGTCATGTTGATTTAGAATTTTATTTTTTTCCACGTCAAATACAATGATAATTGGCTTTTGATATATTTTTTTTTGTTATTAAATGAAAAACAAATTACAATGATATTATTAAAATTAATCATTGTAATATTAAATATTTTTAATGATTATTAATACTTATTACAACCACTATTGCTATTATATGTCCGTTATTAGCCATTGTGAGTTTATTAAAAAAATTAATTATAGTTTAATAATTAATTTGTTATTTATTCTCTTTCTATATAAGCATAACATTCGGTTTGAATTATAAACTTGAAAACACATGAAAGGTTCAAGATATTATATAAGAACAAATTGAACTATTTATCTTTAAATTATTTATGAAAAACAACTTTTGAATTATAAACTTAAAATTAATTTTTTTTTTTTTATATTAAATCATGTCAAACCGAATTTGCATGTCAAAATAAAATTTTCTCCCATCCATTCTTTTGCTTTTTATAACCTTTCTTATATGCAACGCATTTAATTTGAAATATATAAAATCTTTCGTATGGAGAATTTTTTTCAAATTTCTGATGTGAAGATGGAAATATCATAACAGGAAAAGACTTGCAACCTAAGACCCGTATAAATTCTGTTGGTAATATAGGAGTAACTAGCACATATCTCGCACGTTACTACGGGTGAGTTATATGATATTCTTATGTGTATATCTATATAAAATACAGATTTAAAGATAATTATTTAAAAAAATCACATGAAAAAAATTCAAAAAATAGAAAGACCAAAACATATATTTCGTATATCACCGCAAGGTTAGCTAAATGAAAAAATTTTAAAATTGAGCAAGATAATATTGCTAATTAAACGTTGTTTGATACAAACATATATTTTATTATAAATATGTATAATAAATGATAATTAAAATAATAATATGGTAGTTTTTTGAGGTTTGGATGATTAATTTCTACTCTATGTTCTCTATTTGTAGTTTGTTAATGAGACAAAAAAAGACCACCTAAAACAAAAGAAAAAAAGTTTTGTCAAATCGGAATGAAATTGAAATGTTTCAAAACCTCGTTTGGCAAAAATAAGAACAAAAATTACACATGAGAAAATTTAAATGATAAAAAAAAAAATCATAAAATAAGAATAAAAAAACTTTCATTAAAAGGCAAAAAAAGACTTATGAATAATCGATTAAAAAAAAAACTCATTATGCATAAGTCACAAATAAAAATCAAACATGATAAAACTTTAATTAAAAAAAATCACAAAATAGGAACCAAAATAGAAAGAAAATTTTTACTAAAAACTATAAAACACTTATGATTATGAAATTTTAATTTTAATATAAAAAATCAAATATAATAAAATTTTAATGATTAAAATAAAGACGAAAACACAACAAAAAATTTCACTAATAGTAAAAAGAAGTTCCTTGTTTCATTAGGGTGATTTATAAATGTAACGGGTGATTTCTAAAGTTTAATTTGAGCAATTTTGTTATAGCAACATTGCAAATGTCAAAATTGAAAACATGTGTACGTAGTTAATTATTATCCACATCATACATAAGTCATTTTCCTTGACTTTATAGAAAAAAGAAAACTCAATCACTGCCACATGTACAATTGGTTAAAAAAAGGAATAAAAAGAAAGGACTAAAACGAAAGCAAAATAAAAAGACAGAGATGAAAAAGGAAAAAAAAATTAACTAAAGGCCAACAAAGAAGCTTAACTACAGTAAAACATTATTCTCTTTTAGTATATGTTATAATTGTCTGAAAAATAGAGAGTAAAAATTGATTATCAAGTTGCTGCAGTGTGTTTTCTTTTGCAAATATTTTTTCTAGTTTTCACTAACATCCAATCATTCATCTAAAACACAAACCAAATGACATTTGTTTATTCATGACAACAACATATACATGTTGAAGGATATGTAGCCATACTTCTTTTTAGTTCTTAGTAGTTGCCAATTAATGTTGAAGGATATGTAGCCATACTTCTTTCACTCTGTTTCCTAATTTGCATCATTTAAATTCTAATATATGCATTTTTTTGGACGAAAGAAGGTAGATTTAACACGTAAGCAACAAAAGATCTCAGAAAGCACTCACTAAGAAGCAAACAATTCATCCTTTTTTCCCTAATAATTTTAAGTAATTTTTTGCGGAATGTTCAAAACTTGCGCAATAAATTTAATGATCTTCGCATATGCAACATAGGCTAGAACTTTTTTTAATCCAAACAACCTCTACAACCATCTGTCTGAACAGATTAGGATACTTGGTGAACAAAAGAAAAAATATGCAGTCCAAATTCATGTCCCGCGTAACTGTTGTCAAACAGTATTGAAAGCCCAAGCTCTAAAGGTTGTAACCATACATAAAAGCATAGTGTAATTGCACTTAAATGTACAAGACCACTTGATCGTGAGCAAAAGGTTATATAAGAAATAGTGAGAGAATTGTTTTCTAATAAATATAATGTAAAAAATCACGAATTTTATATTTTTTAATTATATTAATTTTTTTTTAATTTTAAACAAAAATATCATTAATTAAATTTTTTTTGTAATAATACTAGTATAATTTTTATGACTTATATTTCATTTGAAACTAACATTGCATGTGATGGGGAATAATAGCACTATTAATTTTGTCACGTAAGATCCACGTGGATTATAAACTATCCACTAATGAAATACACTAGCTTTTTTACCTATACTATGATGCAAATTGAATATAATACATAAAATTATTTTAACTTAATATCTCATATTATATTATTCATATAGTAAAATATATCAAATTAAAATTAAATAACAATTTCTTTAATTTTATAATTATGTAATCAAAATTTTATATTTGAGTAATTATTATTTATATTTTTCATAAATTTTTTATTAAAAATATTTTTTATTTATCATTATCTACAAATTAAAAAATTTATAATAGTTTAAAAATATTAAAATCAATAAATTTTTAGTTAAAAACTTATTTTATAAATTATTTTTTTAAAATAGTTTTTTATCTTAAAATTTATTGATTTTAATATTTTTAAACTATTATAAATTTTTTAATTTGTAGATAATGATAAATAAAAAATAATTAAAATGACCAAAACGAAACAAAAAGAAGATGACCAACATTAAACCAAAAAAATATGTACAGATTAAAATAATAATATTTTAAAAAAACAAAGTATAACCTCAGGAAAACTTTTAATACTACCAATCAATCTGATTGAATAGTGTTTCAAATAGCATAAATAAATAGTAATTATACATTTTACTTTAGGTTTTTTTTTTTTAATGTCAATCACTCCTTAACTCAATTAAAAAAAAGAAAATCCCTAAACGATCGAACAGTATATCGCAATTTGCAGTGTTTAAACGATTACTGCAGTATGTTGCAGTCCTTCCCATCCAAGCTGCAACTTGCAGCTCACAATCAACCATCCACGGTCAACCTCCAGCAGCTCCCTCACCCAAGTCAACTCCACCAACTAGCAAGCCTCCTCCATACCGGCTACAAGCTCCCCATGCCCTACTGCCATAGCCCACAACCATAACCCGTAGTGCCACTGTCCCTCCACACTCCTGCTGTAACTTCCTGCACGGCCTCCATGCCGCAATTTGCAACCACCCCTTACCCTCCACAGCCACCCTACTGCTGCCACCGGCCGCCTCCCCCAAACTGCCATACCCCGTGCTGCTAGCAACCTCCACAGTCCTGCCCTGCTGCAAGCAACCTGCCACCCCCTACTACAAACACTTCTGCCAGCCACACACCACAGCCACTTCCTGGACAAAACTACTGTCCAGCCTCAACCCTACTGCCAATCATCCTCCTATCCAAGCCCCGTTACCTGCAATAATGCCCCATCGTCACGGTGGGCAACCAACCAATTCAAAATATATAAAAGCAGCAGCAGAAACAAAAAGAGAGGGGGGTGTTAGTCTCTGGAGAAAAATTCAGTTCATCAAAATTTAAAAAGAGGGCAGTAGGAAACAGAGAATCAAAAAAGAAAGAAATCAAAAATAAAAAAAGAAGAAGAAGCAGAATCTTTTTTTAAACAAAAAAAAAATAGAAGAGGATTTACCTGTTTTGGAGCTGCTGCATCTCTCACCATCATCCTCAATTCAATCCATCTAGGTAAACCATCTTGAATTTCTTTTCTTTTCTTTAATTTGGGATTTTTGACAGTCAATTTAGGGTTTGTAATGAATTTGGGCGTTTTTGAAATTGAATTGAAATTGGGTTTAGGGAATAGAGATCAATTGGAGTTTCAATTTAGGGTTTAAACCCCAAATTGAAGCTGAATTGACCTCAATTGAAACCTAGGGTTCCTGAGTTTTTTTTTTTTTTAAATTGAATTGGGGGTTTTGATGTAACTGGAAGAGAGAGATTAATAGAGTGAGAGGGAAAGAAGGATTGAGAGAGAGGAGGAGGAACGAACCAGAAATCTCTGGCTCGTTCCTCCGTGGACGAACGGCAGAAAAATAAAGGAAAGAGAAGGAAGAGGGGGGATTCGGGAAAAGAAGGAAGAGAAGAAAAGAAGAAAAAGGAAGGGAAGAAGAGAAAGAGGAACGAACTGGTTCGTCCCATGGAAAGGGGAAAAAGAAGAAGAAGGAGAGGAGAGAGAGAGAAGTCGCGTGAAGAAAAAAGGAAAAAGAGAGGTTTGATCCGAAAATAGAAAAGGGAAGGTTTTAGTTGTGTTTGTGGGCTGGGGTCCAGCTGAAATGGAATGGGTTGGGTTAAGCCCAGCCCTTGTGTGATTGGGCTGGACTGATTCCAGCCCGAAAAAAAAAAAAGGAAGAAAGAGAAAAATTGAATCAGTCCAGCACGAAAAAAAACGAAGGAAAATTTGGACTGAACAGATTCCAGTCCAGTCCAGTGGGCCAAGCCCAATGGGCCGATGCCCCACTAACAAAAAAAAGTTCTAATACTTTAATTTTATTTTTTTAGATAAATTTATCCTAAATATTTTTATTTCTCTATGTTTATCTCCTGTTTAATTTAGATTTTAATATTCTAGATCTTTTGAAATTTATTTTAGTTAATTTTAATTTTAATTAATTTAAATTTTAGAATTATGTTTCAATAATTAGTTTAGGTAATTAATAGGTTGGCGAATTGTCGAGTCTCCTAATCTTTAGGGGCTGATAACGATTCCCCATCGAAAAAAATAAAAATTATAAACAAAAACGAAAGGCATATTAATTTTAGGATTTTGTTTCCATAATTAGTTGAGATAATTAATAGATGGAATAATTATCGAATCTCCTAATCTTTAAGAACAATGACGATGCGCCACCAATAAAAATATATATATAATTAAAAAAATGAATGAGAATAATAATAATAATAAAAGGAATGTGAAGAAAATAAAAAGAGAAAGAGCTAAGAAAAATTGAAAAAGCTTCATATCCGATAGAGACTATTGTTAGCCAAAATCATTTCATAATCAAGACGTTTTCCGACACACCTGGTTGTATTGAGACTTAAAGTGAATCCGATATATATTTGAACCGACGTGTCTCCCGACAAAGGGATCCCACGATCGGTTAAATACGATGTCACGATCAAAAATAAAAAAACTTAATTTAGCTTAGAAAATTAAAGTTTAAATCAAAAATAGTTTAGCACAATTAAAACACCCGAAGATAAATTTTAGAACTAAACTAGATATGATATCTTTTTTAGAAAATGACATTTTTGAAAGAATCGATATCTTTACAAAAACCGACTACTTACCCTATAATCTATGAATTAATACAATTTTTAGATTTTTAGTTGTTACGACACCGAGGGACAACTCTCAAATCTAATAATAGCTCACATCTTCAAAATAAATAAATCTTTTTGAATGTAATATTAAATTTTTTAGGAGTTTTGTTTGATGTCGGGTAGCTACAGAAATAGTAAGTACATAATTTTAGAAATTAAAAGTTTTGAGTTCAAATTTATAATTTTTTAAAAAATTACAGGCCAACCTAGTACTAGTCTAACCAACTAGGACTTCGCCGGTCAATCTTTATTGTGAACCCAAACTGGTTAGATGTCCTAGTCAGTTAATAACACTGGAAAAAATGAGGCAAGCTGCCAACTACTGTCGTTTGCTCTTTTAAAACGCAAACGTGAGGGCAGTAATATTGTAGGAGGTTTCCATCGCGCTGGAAGAAGTTTACACCATTAAGTTTACAGGTGACAACCTTTAAAGTGCAAAACCAAGTGGAGAGTCGTAACTTGCTTCGAACTAATTTTGTACTAATTTTTTATTTCGAACCAAACCGGTCGGTGTATAATTAAGAAATAAGGAAAACATATATTGCTAGCTATTTATGGATTAATAGCATGGAAGTACAGAAGTTGTTTGACTATTTTACTACGACCTTTACTCTTATCAAATATTTGGCTCTGATCCCTACAGCAATTCCTCTCTACCGAAGCAAAGAACATAATTTCTTTGATAGTACTATGAAATATGGTCGAACGACGATGAATGGAACGTTTCTTTATGGCGAACAAAAAATGGTGGACGTACTCAAATTTGATATTGGAGGGCTAGATTTCGATCTACCTCTTCTGTAGCGTATCATTTCTTTGAGCTTGTTACACCTTCCCTAATAAATTCCCCAGAACCAACAATCTATATACATGGCCTTCTCTCTCTATATATGTATGTATGTACAGTGCTTGTTGTGAAATGAAAATAAGGTTCTTATATATGTACTTACTATTAAGGGGAGCAAGGCTTGCAGATATGGATGTCTTAGTGATTTTCCACGGCTTTCTTGAACTGTACATTTTATCAACGACTTTGGATGAGGAAGAAGATTGCCATGCAAAAGAATTGTCACAAAAACAGTTCAAGAAAGCTCTGAAAAGTTACTAAGAGGATCTAGTTGGTCAATATCCAATGTGCCGTCTGGTAGGAAAGACTGTCTCCAAAAAATATTTACAGGCAAACTCTCTGATCGAATTCCAGGGCATAGAATATCGATCCCTTTGTTTTGACGACTTTCTTAATTTCTTAATGTAAGCTCTCTGACCATCTCTCTCTCTTTTTGCGATCACTTGCAGGCACACTCGTAGAGTTTCTTTGTCGTTTTGAAGGTTGGTTACAGCACAGAGCTAGCGTTGATAGAGAGGTTCCTTTAATTAAATTTTCATTTCTTTCCTAATTTCTAGTTTCCTCTCTATAAGTTGCAGAGCATGAAAGAGAAGACAAGTTGCATCCAGCAGATCATAGTTCATGAGGTACATGCATATTTACTACTATTTGCATGGGCAAGATTACCTTCGCCAGATTTTATTGAAGGGTAAAGCAACATGCATGTGTATGCAGGTATGTACACCAACTTCGACTCTTTTGATTTCTTTGCAAAATTGCATATTCTCTTTTCTTCTTACCAAAGGAAAATCTTGATCGATCCAAGCACTACCATCAAACAGCAAGTTAGCAACTTCAATGATTTTTATGCCTCTTATTATTCATAATTATTGCATGCTGCCCCATGAAAATGCAAGATTAAGGAGATGCCAAATTAAATGCAGAAACTGGCCAGAACAATGTTGTACGGAAAACTGAAGTATGAAGCAAATTCATTGTACTTGACATTAATCATCTTTAAATATAACTGCAGTGCCATTTATTAGAAAATATAATCCACATTGAATAGATAAATAAAAAATAATTAATATATAAAATTTAAAAAAGGTTACCCATCATAAAACTAAACATAATTATTAATATCTATTTTGTTCAAATTGACTCTAATTAAGAGTAATAGAAATAGTACAGCGTTTTTCATCAACGATTGCTAGGGTTTTGAGACCCTGTATATTTAAGATCTTGTGTTACGAGACATTTCACAGTAATCACAAGCGATAAATACAAATACATATAATTTAGGCTTATGCAAATCAATATTTATGTTAAGATAAAGTAGAACTTCTATACTTAGCAATACATAGTTGTTGACCATCACTATCCTTAGCAACACGTTACTGTTGTTGATGCTGACCATCAATCTATTGCTTCTTTCTTAACACTATCCCATAAATTAATTGTTGGTGTTTGCCTAGTGTTAGTTTGTCACAAAAGAATTGAAACCTTATACTGGAAAGTAGTTTAGTAAGAATATCAACTATCTCATCTTGACTGGAGATAAATTAGACCTGAAGGATGATCCCTCTTGAAACTATGTCTCTGATAAAATAAAAATCAATCTCTATATTCTTGGTTTGGACATGAAACAATAGATTTACTGTCAGGCACATGACTCCAATATTGTCACACCAAATTGTAGGTGCTGTGGACTGGCAGACACTAAGTTCACGAAGATGAGATTGCATCCGAGATAGTTCGATAGCCAAATCTACAGCAGCCTTATATTCGACCTTAGTGGAGCTACTTGCAATCATCTTTTATTTTGAGGATTTACATAAAATCAAATTATTGCAAAGATAAACCAAATAGCCTCTTGTAGATTTTTGATTGTCCAGTGAACCTGCCGAATCATAATCAGAAAATCCATAAAGCAAAGGAATTGTCATTATCTGTGATGAGAATATCATCAACATAGACAAAAGAAAAGCCTGAAAATCATACTTGTTGTAGATAAACAAAAAACAGTATGTCTTTTATCCAACAAAGCCAAAGTGAAGAATACAGTCATGTAGACAAAAGAACCATGCCGGAGAAGAAAATTGTTCAATCTATGAAGGGACTTATGTAACTTGAAGACATGGGTTGGAAATCGTTCATCTATAAAACCTATAAAACCTGCGGGTTGTGTCATGAACACATTCTTATGGAGGACGCCATTAAAAAAGACATTGTGTACATGGAGTGGTTTGATTTTCCAACCATTAGATACTGCCAAAAAAATATATCTAATGGTGGCAGGCTTCACTATAGAACTGAAAGTCTCACCATAGTCAAGGCACTCTTGTTGATGATACCTCTTTGCCACTAACCTTGCTTTATACCGTTCGAGGCTGCCATTCGCCTTTTTTTCTTGAAAAATCATTTGCTGCCTATGACATTCATAGTGGCAGTAGAGAGGACTGATGACCAGGTTCTTATTCGAACGATGACAGTAATCTCAATAGATATGGTTGTCTACCATTCAGCAGACTTTTAGGATTTAGAGAAACAAGTTGGGGATTTTGGCACTGTAATCGTTTTTATTGCCATTGATGCTTTCCGCTAAGAGGGAATTTTCATGGACCTTAGGATCACAGGGTGAAGACAAGGAGGATCTGGTTGTGTTTAGGGAATAATACTGTCTGACTAATTAAGGTGTTAAACCATACCCATTGAAATCGAGCACTAAATTCAAGCCACTATGAGAACTGATTTTGTTTGATAAGGGAGAAGAAAAGGATGATCCTGGAGAGTCACAGTTTGATGAGTGGAAACTTTGTAAGGTTTGTGTTTGTGTTTATGTTTGATTTGACTTGCCCTAGTTTGGAGAGTGTACTGAGACGTTATTTTGGATGTGTGGACTTAAATGGACTGGAGGAAGAGTCTGTACTTGTAGAGAATATAAGTGGGCAATAGCTATGCGTTGGTTTAGTTACGATGATGTTGGTGATGGAGGGATTTGGTCCAAGTGCTGCTGATTTCTATGAGAAGTTGTTCTGAAAGAAAGAAATATTAGTGGGCATGTCTAAAGTTTGCTGTTTTGATATGGACAAATGAGAATAATATATTGAAAAGGAAAAATTGACAAAACTGGAACGACGAGCAATGTAAGGTTTTTTTGTAGTGTCTAAAGATACATGGATATCCTGGATGACACGGACTGTACCCAAGAGAGACCCACTGAGTTGTTCAAAAATCCAGTTCATGTTTATTATAAGGGTGCAGATATGCAAAATACAGACAACTAAAAAATTTTGGAAATGAATAATCTGTTTTTGGTTAAAAAAAAAAAAAAAAAAAAACCTCATTAGTAGATTTGTTTAGAAAGACAGAAGAAGGCATGTGATTAATAAGAAACATAACGGTCTCAAAGACAAAATGCCAAATAAGTCGCTTCATGGGTGGCCATCAGTAACAACAAGCTTAAAATTAACGAAAAGACTAAATAAAAAGAGAGAGACAGTTGTCACCTAGTATAAAAGGTAATTAGAAATCTAAAGGAGCTCTAAGATAAAAGGTTAGTTATACGTAGAGAAAATAAAAATCACTCTACTCCATCCTACTCAAAAGAGGTTGCATTGCATGTATGATAAAATATAAATTTTAGTTTTGAGTATGATAAAAGCCTGTGCCTGTTTTGTACTTTGTATGTTTAGCATCAAGCTAGAGATTAGTCAATTATGGTTCAAAACCTTATCTTGACTCTAAGACATTCGGGTATCAATCTCATGAGAAAACTACTCGAATTACCCAAAACTCAAAAAAATCACAAAAAAATTAAGATAAGTAATTTGAATGATATAACTTGTAAGCTATGGTTTTGGAAATGATGTGGACTCCAATGCCATGAAAAAATAACATGAACTCAAAAGTCGTGGTTTTGCAAGAAAACGAATAAGTGGTTTGGAAAAGCTGTGAACTTAAAAATTTCAATTCCGTAAACAATTTAAAACAACATAAACTCATAGTTAAGGTTTTAAAATGAGGTGAACTTTCACATGAAAACTCGAGTCACAATTTCACATGAAAACTCACATAAACGATTTTGAAAGTACATGAATTCAAAAGTTAAGGTTTTAAAACGATACGAACTTAAAAGTCGTAATTTCTTAGAAAAAAGTCATGAATAATTTTAAAACAATATGAACTCAAAAATCAAAGTTTTAAAATGACACAAACTCAAAAGTCATGATTTCTCAGGAAAACTAAGGTAAATAATATAAAAACGACAAGAACTCAAAGAGTCAAGGTTTTAAAAAGATGTAAACTTTGAAGTTGCAATTTCTAAGGCAATTTAAAATAGCATGAACTTAGAAGTCAAGGTTTTAATATAATGTAAATTCAAAAGTAGCAATTTCTCTAGGAAACCTCAAGCAACAGATTTAAAACGACAACTCAAAAGTCAAGGTTTTAAATTATGCAAAAATCAAAAGTTGTGATTTCTAAGAAAAAACTCAAAAAAAATAATTTAAAATTACATGTATTTAGAAATCAAAGCTTTAAATCAAAACGGCTTCAAAAGTCATGATTTTTTCGAAAAAACTCATAAACGATTTTAAAATAACATGAACTCGAAGTCAAGGTTTTAATATAATATGAACTCAAAAGTCATGATTTTTAAGAAAAAAATCATAAACAATTTTAAACTAGTATGAATTTAAAAGTCAAGGTTTAAAATGACGTAAACTTAACGATCGTCATTTTTAAAAAAAAAAAAAAAAAAAAAAACTCGGACAATGATTTTAAAATGACATAAACTTAGAAGTCAAGATTTTAAAATAATACGAAATCAAAAGTTGCAATTTCTCATTAAAAAAAAAAAAATCAAGCAACAATTTTAAAACAACATGTATGTAGAAGTTAAGGATTTACAATGATGCGGCATCAGAAGTTGCAATTTCATATGAAAAACTCATACGATTTTAAAACAACATAAACTCAAAAGTCACAATTCCTTAAGAAAAACTCAAGCAACGATTTTAAAACAATATGAATTCGAAAGTTAAAGTTTGAAAATGATGTCAGCTTAGAAGTTGTGATTTCTTAAAAAAAAACCCTCAATCAATGATTTTAAAATGAGATAAACTCAAAAATTAAGGTTTTAAAACGATGTGATCTCATAAGTCATGATTTTTCAAGAAAAAACTCATACATGATTTTAAAATGGTATGACTCAAATATCATAGTTTTAAAACGACACAAACTCAAAAGTTACGAATCTCAAAAAAAAAAAAAAACCTCACATAATAATTTTAAAAGAACATAAACTTAAAATTAAAAAACTTGAAACAACATAAACTCATAAGTCATAGATTTAAATCGATGTGAACTCAAAAGCCATAATTTTTCAAAAAAAAAAAAACTTATAAACGATTTTAAAACAAAAGAAACTCATAAATCACG